TGTAATAATTTTTCTTTTTCTTCTTCTGGTGAAATTCTTTGTTTCTCTTCTTCTTTTAACTTATCTCTTTTTTCTTCCATTTCTATTATTTTAAGATGTAATTTAACTGCTTCCTGTTTCAAAGGAGATAATGTTATTTCTTCTTCTAAATAAACTTGTTCTTTGTATAATTCATCCAATTTTTGTTGCAGTTCATTTGCTTTTTCTTCCACTTTTATTTTTTCTTTTAATAATTCATCATATTTTTCCTTCATATCAGAATCCATACTGTCTATAAGTCGTTCTGTTCTTTTCTTTTCATCTTCTAATTGTTTTTGTATTTTTGTTAGTTTTTGTTCTAATTGTTTTCTTTCTTCAAACATATTTTCAATTCTTGATAAAATTTCTTCATTTTTTCTAGCAAGTTTTTCAGTTTCTTCTTCAATAATTTCTTTTCCAATATCAGATGTCATTTTATCTACAATGATATTATAATCAGCTAGTTGTCCTTGTAAAGCTGTTAACTCCATAGCCAAATCTTTGGCTCTTTTATCATAATGCAGATAAGTAGCTCTTTCTTTAGTTTGATCTTCAATATCTTTCATAATAACAGCAATTTCTTGATTTAATTCTCTAATTTTTAATTGCATAAGTCCATTATAATATCTTTTATCTTGAATTTGCCTAAAAATAGAAAATTTAAATTAAAAAATAACAAAAGGAAAAATTGATGTTTAAGTTATTATTATCACAATGATATATTTTATTTTAATTAATAATTAATTTAAAAAAAAAATTAAATATAAAAGAAGAAATTTACATACCTAGTCATTGATAAATTTTTACCAGTTCCAGGTCTAAGACCTGCCACTCCATGTTGAGTGATTGGTCTTTCCAAAATATTTATATTCATTTGACCAGACAAAGGAAATGCAATATTACATGCTCCAGAATTACTTGAATTAATTGTATTTAAACGTGAATTACCAGTTGATACTTGATTGAGCGCAGCAAAGGATGATGGTGGTCTTGCCAATACATTTTGACCAGGTGTGCCTGGACGAGTATTCCCAGAAAACTCTGATTCATTTTTTGTTCCTTTGTAAAACCTTTCAAATTTATTTTGTAATACAGCAGTACTAGTTTGTGGTCTTTGCATTATATTGATCTATTTAAAACACTTTTTTTCTTTATTGAAAATATTTTTGGTATGAATTTGCATAGATATTTAATTAGTTGATACTGTTTAGTTAAAGTACATTATAACCCGTTTGTTTTCTACTTGGTTGTCATAGAAACTAATTCATAGAATCTATATAATTCCAAATTAATTTAGATATAAATTATAAAATTTACTTTATAATTTATATATAATTACATGAAAAAAATATAATTTTAAATGATACTATAAAATTACATTACATTACAAGAATTTGTATAAAAAATCAAGACATAGAATAGATCTAACTTTATATCCAATGTTTTGAAATATCGATTGCGCAAAAAATCAAAATATTTTGTGCGATTTACAGCGGTGAATTATATTTTAAAACAAAAATTATTGAAATCAATAAATTTTAAAAATAATTTCTTTGACACATTATTTTATAAATATTCTTATATATTATATTAATATATAAGATATTAATATAATTAATTATAATTTAATACTTATTAATAATTATTAATAAATTTAATAATATTAAACTTTAATATTATTAAATTTATTTAATAGTACATACATATTGCATTATAAATGTTAATATTTATTATTTATTACAAATAATAAAAACATTAATTAAAAATTTTTACGAGTTTTAATCATAAATTGCCAATAAATTGGGCAAGCGAGACAATAAAGTTGTTTTTTACATGCATAAATTTTGCAAAAAAGATATAAGCAAAGAAATCAGATAGTGAGATAAGAATAGAATGGATAAAAATATTGAAATAAGTGCCATCTTCAGAATGTCAAATGAAACAGGAAATGCACGTATGAAAAGAACAGGAAATAGAGAGAAAAAGAAAATACAAAAAGAACTGACAAACGTTATCTATTGAAGTTCAAAAATATTTCTTTATATCTCTGAAATTCAAAAATAGAGTAAAGTAGAATAAAAATTGAGAGTGCCATTTAAATGTTTTTAGAGAAGTTTTAAAAAATGGTGAAATCCAAAAGATGGCGCTGATTGTCAATTCTTATTCTATTTCATTCTCCTATTCTATCTTTTATTTCATTTGTAAGACTAGAGATGACACTGATTTCAATATATTTATTCTTTTCTCATTTTTGCTCTATACTTGTTCTTAGTATGTGATTATAGATGGTAGCAAATGTCAAACATTTTCATCATTTCTCTTTCAAAATTATAATGTAATTTCAATTTTTAATGTAAAAATATATATATATTTATATTATATATATATATTTTACAATGTAATTTCTAAAACAACAAAATATAAAACAATATATAAGTTTTGCGGGTATTTTGATATGAGCATTTTGATATCATTTAACAATAAAAAAATATTTTTTTTTTATTTGTAATTTTATATTAAAATTTAATTTCAATTTTAATCATTATTAATGTTGCAATCTCATTCAAACCGAGCCTTATGAAAATATCTGTAATTTTTAAAAAATAATTTACTTTATTTAATACATTAATTTATTTTAATTAATTATTTTTCCTTATGTTATATTTTATCTATATTTTTTACTTTGTCGTTATTGATCTTTATTGAAATAATTGATGAAATGAAAATTCAAATTTTTAGTTTAATGAAAGAATGGAAGATGGCAGTAGATTGTCGTTATCTCAAATTAAGTAGTTGCTAAGCAACAAAAGTGACGCGGCGTGTTAGCCAAGTGGCAAAGCACGATGGTGACGGCGACGACGATGGTGACGGCGGTAGCGACGCCGGTCCCCCCAAACTCGAATTAATATACGGGAGTCCAAGAATATCTTCAGTGTGCCTCGGGATAGCCAGAAACCAATCGGCGTTACCACAGTAACCCGCGTTGCAGCTAAGTTCCCCGTGGCATCGCGATTCGTCCCGTCGACATATAAACGTCCGCCACTTACTCATTTTATACACGTTCGTTCACATTGGCATTTCTTTTCAACTTGCCTTTTCTTTTGCCTTTTCCTTCTCCTTTCTTTGCTCAATAGGCCGTAGTTGTATGCACGGCTGGCCACATGTACCTAGTGATAACACATCTAGTGCAGATCATAGAAAGGTATCAACGCTGCCCGATAAACCGGTTTTACCGCAACCAAGCGGTGACCTCCTCGTGCTCGAGAATGTTTTAAACTGTGACAAATATTTTGTGCTCACGTTCATAGAAACTGTTGGCTTGTACATACGTGAACACGAAATAACAACCCCAGAGTTGTTTTGAAATCGAGACGCCGTTACTATACTGCGATGGACGAAGAAGAAATTGACGGCGTGAAGTCGCCCATCAAAAGGCTTGGCTCCACGCGGAAGCTGCTTGTCTTTAATAGTAAGTTATAACCACACATTTTTTATTTTTTTCTTTTTCTATTTTATTTTCTCTTATTTCTTACATATTGCTCATTTATATATTTATTTCTCTTTCTTTTTATTTATAAAGAAAGTTAATTTTTTTAATTGGTATATTTTTTATCAATCGTAAATAAATAATTGTTTATTATAATTCTTATTTTTATTATTATATAGTTTAATATTTTAGTTTAATATTAATATTAAACTAAAAAATTAAAAATAATTTTTTAAATGATTTTTTATCAATGAAGTTTTTTATTTATGAGATTTAATTTACAAAATTATTAAAATTTATTTTGAAACGCTATTGTTATCATATCCTTTAATAAAGATATAGATTTAACTTTTTGGTTTGAAATTTATTTGTTGCATATTTAAAAGTTAATTTATTTCGATAAAATTTGTTTCATCGATAAAACAGTGAATATTGTTTTTTTTTTTTCCTTTTCTTTAATATAAAAAACATTTTTTTAATATTTGATATGTTTTAGGAATGTGTAAAAAAATATAGCAACTGTATAGTTAGCAAATGTTAGAAAATCTCATAATATATAACCGATGATACATTTTAAAGAATGACACACTGTATCGATATTTTTATGTTGAAGATGCTGTTTATTTATGCATTTTTTTGATCTGCAATGTTTTTGTAAAAAAAAAATTCTTATTTATTTTTTTATTACAGCATTGCTCAATTATTCATGTAATATCAATGATAAATATTCAAAAATAATAGAATTATGTTTTCATATCTATTATAATAAAATGATCATAAAATTTATAAAAGCTAAGAAAAAAATTTTTTAAATATTAAGTTTTATAAATTTACGATATTGCAAATTGTCATTATCAATTTGAAAACTATTGCATATACGTAGTTTATTGATTATAAAAAAAATTATGTTCTTAAAATTCTTAAAAAAAATTTTCATTATTTTGATTATAAAATTTTATTATAACAATATATAATTTATTAGTAATCAAGTTTATAATTTATCTTTTCTTAACATTATACATATATATTTATTATAATATTTAAATTTTTAGAATAAATTTTAATTAGTTAATTATTAATAACTTTACTAAGGAAAATCTTTGTAAATATTTGAAAGTTTTGAAATGAACGAAACAATGTTTCACTTGATCAATGAACGATCGTTATTCGATGGAGTAAATGAGGTGCTTGCACGTCTCTCGATTGAAATGTTGGCGCGTCGCATTTGAAATTGCTTCGTCTGCATATTAAAAGTCGTGAGAAGTAACAGGGATAGGTTTCACGGTATTCTACATTCTATATTCATGCAAAAATTTTTATTTATTGGATTAAATATATCTCATTTTTCCATCTAAATATGTAATTCTAATATATCTTCTAATTCTTCTAATATATAATTATTCTTCTAATAATATATATAATACTTTTGTACAGTTTTATTAAATTAAAAAATAAATTTCATTATACTTATTATTATTATATTATTAAAAATATATTACATATTATTATTATATTATTAAAAATACTTTTTTATAAATATATCTCTGACTTAATATCGTGAACAAAATAACAACGCTTTTACAATTTTTAAAATTATTTAATTTCGTATCAATGTATCCTAAAACATATATTCATAATCTATTTGATTAAGAATTATCAAAAAAATATACATCGGATGCCCATCCCTGTTTCCATTTACAAACTTTCAAGGTTGTTTTTATTTTATTTTAACGCGTATTCCATCTCCATCCCCTCTATTTTCCTCCCACTATGTATATAATACCTCCCCCGTTGAACACGTTCACAGAGTACACTTTCAGATACGAACGTCTATATATTCTTTCATACTGTGTAACGCATGCGCACATTCTCATTGTTCGCCGCAACTCCTTCCATACGGTCATGCGTGACTGCGTCGACCGTTTCCTCTATGCATTTTGATTTTTGTGTTTATATCCGTATGGTTGCAACATTGGATGTTTTAAAATCGATCTTAATGACCTATCGCTATATAGAGTTTGCCAGTAAAGTTAGTTGATAAATATGCAGATTTATTTGCTGAATATTTTAAGATTTTATAAATAATATATATAAAAATAAAATTTATCTAATAATTCGATATGCAATATATATGTATATATGTCGCTTTGATTAATTATTATTAATTGGCATATAATTTATTCATGTAAAAGAGATAATGAAAATAATAATTCCTCAGAAATTATTATCAAAGTTTGTCATTTTATGAGAATATCTTGAGATATTTACATTTGTATAAACATTTTTTAAAAATATATTCACATTAATTTATAATATAAATTTAATTATAATATAAATATTTAAAATAATTTTTTAATATAAATTTAATAAAAATATCATACTTAAAAAAAATATGATATAAATTGATCAGAAAAAAAAATCTGAATAAAATATAATAATAAAAAAAAAGATATTTCCTGTTTTGTGCGACAGATGTTTTTACGAACAGATCATTTTTAAAATGTCAAAGAAGAGTATCTATTTCACTTTGTGAAAGATATATGTATCTTCTTTCATATGGATATTATTGCAATGACGCATTTTATTTAAATATTTTTTAAAAATTATATTTTTAATATTTATTATCATATAATTGAATATATTTTTTTTTACATCTCTTATTAATCAAAGCGAAAAGAATAAGAAAGAGACATTTTGAAAAATAAAAATACAAAAAAAAAATCTTGTTAAAAAGAAATTATTTTTCAATAATTTTAATTGATATTTTTTATTTTGATTTTCTCCATTTACAAATATTACAAATTTTGGTTTGAACTTTCTAAATTACTGTCGTAGAACACACGCCCGACAAAAAAATTACAGAGTGTAATTTTTTTACGTGCATACATGTGTAACAAGGCTATTCATTTTAGTTTAACTCATTGATGAAAAAGTTCCGTCAGGGTAAAGAGAAGGAATTACAAGGAAATAATACATCCCCCATCTAT